TTTCCAGTATACCACTGACTAACTTTCATGCCATTTGATTCCAGACTGGTGCTGCCCAAAAGAGCTAACAGTCAGGAAACAAGAACGATGAGTATATGATGTTGTTCAGAATATTGTATATCACCATGATAAACTATTACCATATGCAGCACTTCTAGGATATTCGAACTTTATAATAAAATATATTGATAAATAGATGAAAACCAAAAATGTATGCATTTTATAGTACCTTACGAAATTACAGTACCTTACCTTTTCTGTGCTCAGCCATATCCGATTTCTTGTCTTTCGACATGTCGTTCGAGGTGGAACCAAAGAAATGTTGTATTGACTGCGATCCGAAGTTACTTGGTCGTTTTTTCTTTTTCATCGGTGACGACTTGGTAACGATTGGTTTTTTCTACAAAGCGGAAGTTTCAGAAAGCTAAATTATTAAATTAACGAAGAAACAAAGCCACAAGGACGGCATGTACTACCTTTCCGTTACGAACAAACACTTCAGCGACTTTGTCCTTGATCTGGTACTTACGCACCATTTCTGGTTCCACTATCCAGGGAGAGTATTGCGAACAGTAGTTTTCTTTGTAAGCAAACGTTCTGATGAATAGACGCATTAGTTTCTTTACGGGCAAAGGGTTCACACGTCTAAACGAATACCGTCTCCTGATACGCATTAAAGTCATGAAAAAGAATAGAGTACATACTTGATGCCAGACAGTGGAATCGTCGAAATGACGGAAACTTTATCGCCGTTCAACTCAATATCACAAAACATACGGTCGGTCTAGAAATGCAAAATATCAGCATATCCCATATGTGTTGCAATTCCGCACTGAAATTTGATTTTTGTGCTCTGTCAAGCTGAACTTGAAATCAAAGTTTCATATATTTCATATATACTGTTGACGTTTAAGATAAACATCATCAAACGCATTACCAGGAAATGCTATGCTAATACCAGTTAAATGATACTGAAGAAAGAACATCTAACGAAAGCATGGGATGCACGAAACTCAAGCGATGGAACGGTGGGAGACATCTCAGCACACCAACTTCAGTAGCTTTCTACGACAGACAAAGAAGGAATACAACTGTCTGCTTCAAGAGATTGGGAAAGTATGAAGAATGAAAGTAATAAAGTTGTCCATGAGTAAGCTTTTCGCGATACCCCATTTGCTGAAAAGGGCCCTTAGGAGCAAATATCTAAAATTGAGGTGTGATAAGGGCGCGAAAAAAACACCAAAGAAAAACGTGGCAAAGCAATTATTATATCCTGCATGTGGAATCTTAGATTCAGCCTTACAATGATAAATCAATTGCCTATTACAAGAAACAAGCCCATACAAAAATAATTTACAATGGAGTTAACCAAAAACCAAAATCAAACTAAAAGTGCAGTTTATATTATCCGAAAAAAAATTTAACAGATGCCGGTCGAAACATCATTAAGTTCTTCACCTGATAAACATAGATTTGTGCTAAGTTAAATAACGGCATATGCTCGATTTTTATTAGGGCTATCAAAGCACGGAGAAAATTTTCAGGGAACAAATATGCTGGAATATTCCATCTCTGTCAAACATTTCAGGCCGAGCTGTTACTATTATATAATAAACCCAGTGAAACATACATAATGTGCCAACATCGTCGGCACAGTGGGTTGACGGCATCACGTGCAATTTCACAGCACTAATCGCCCTTTCTACACTTCTTGAGCGAATGATGTTAAGTTCTGCCCATTGTATTACATCATTTGTCTAACATGTTACCGATCTTGCAACTGAATACTATATGCTTGAACACTGTTTTTCCAACAAGTCATGTTTTTTCGCAACGATGTGGCGGTTACGTCACATCGTTGCGTTCCTGTATTTCCTAAAGGTCTGAACGCTGAATTACAGTTGTTTTTAGATCCCAACATCGGACAAAGTTGCTCAAAGACGTTTGTAATAGTGAATTAAGGCAACACATAACAAAGACTTCAATTAAACTGGGTCGTGAATTCTAGCTCTAACTTTCACATCCATAGGGTGCGACAGATAAGAAATTTTACAAGCATATGCATCATGAACTTCCGAATGTCGCTATTTCATCATGATCTGACCAGTCTTTGCATGTACGCTCTTACCATTACTACACTTTGGCAAATATCAGTTCTGCAGTCACCATTTTCGTCTAGAATGGAGCCTAGAGATATGGTAGTGACTATTCGCCATTCATTGTAATTTTACCTGTAATGCATTTTATGACCGCTGAGATCACTTTATTAATAGCTAGGATGAATTTTAGACCAGATTATTCGCTCATATTGTTGACTTTTTTTGGCAATATTGCGATAAACTCTACATCGTCTGCATATTGCAAATCTGTGAATCACACTTGTCCAATTTTTATACATACGTCGCTTTGCAATGCAGAAGGCATGTGTTGGGACTGCTGTTGGAACCGCGACTCTATAAGCAATTTCTTTTTTTGGTTTCACAGTATTTCCCGGCCTGACTTCTATGAATGAGTGGCCGATTGATTTTTGACTTTTGAGTCACTTCAGCCAGAGAAAGTTCTAAACCACTGGTTGGGAGGAAACGTTTTATTTGCACTAAACCGGATGAGGGGAAGGTGAGCGCTAGAAAGAAATAAACCCAGGAAAACCAACGCCAGCTATGGCGATTCGACTAAAAGAATCCAGGTGAATAGTTTATGAGCACAAACGAGATAAAGGCAATCTGAGATTCTTTAAAAAGAAAGAGGCTTCTTATGCAAAAAAAGATATTTTGTCAAGGAGAAGCTTAGGGCAGTATAAAACATGAAGATCCATAGTGGAGGCATTCACATTGGGAAAACTGGCACCAAACTGAAAAACATGATACAGGAACATACAGCAAGCATAAGCAGAAGATGTCAGTAAAAACAGTTCTGACGTGGCAGCACAGATCACAGTTAAGAATCACCCGATATAGCAACATGCGACCAAACTAGTTCGAAAAGACAGCTGTGTAATAATTCTGAGAACCATCACAAGACCCTAAACACCAAAATAAACAAGATCACACATACTAACGTAAACAAAAGAAAAAATGATTCGTTAAGTATAATTGCATTTGTTTCGTAATGTTATAATAGGAGTACGTATTTTCACCTATGAATTCATGAAATAACCACATTCTCTACTTTACAGCGTAAATTCTAGTCTACTTTGGCCCAAGCACAAATTTTACATTATTAGACATTCTCCAGACCGGTCACAATTAAGACAGACAATAATCAAGCCCCCTTATCAAAAAAGTGATTATGCAAAATCCATTATGGCTTTCAACGACGTTTACTTAAAGGATATTACAAAGTACAATATTTCGACAAATAACATTAGTCTTCTGCAGGTAAAACAAGCAATTATACAGATAATATTGTTTTAAATTGTTCAGTTTAAGTACTGTAAGTCGCGTCATCTTTAGAGTCAAACATTATTGAAAACCATAACGGAATATTCCTTATCAATAAGCAAACGACAGAAAAGTTTTCGAAACTACAGGGGGTGCCGTGGTTTGCCAACCTGAAATGTCAGATCGTTAGGGATTTTGTTCCGGAATTAACTATGGTGGAGTCATTCTTAGTTCAATGCCGAACTATTTAGTAAAAAAGTGTACATTTTAATTTAAAACAAACGTCTATACCACCTGGAAACTTCCTTGGCAAGACATTAATTACCATTAAAATCATACGTTTTTTAAAGGAATTAGATTTACGAACAGAGGAAACGCTGTCAACGAGCATAACTCAACTTAAGGTCATAAAGAACTTACTTTCAGGGAGCTGTGCACCTTTTCTGAATAGTTCGACGTTACCGTTTGAGACTTCTCGGTCAATATGTTTTCGACGTGGACATTGGGACGATAGATGTGCTTTATGATACCTTCATAGCTAAAAAATTTAGGTACAAATTCAAGGACAAAATTGAAACTAAAAACTGCTATTAGTCGATGACAGATCTTTTGAAGCCATAACCATTTTTCATTTATCATTGACTTAACATTTACTCGAATAATCAGAGCTTAAAACGGGATATAAGAATAATATCCGCAACTAGTTGGGTATGATTTCCTTTTTCTGCACGAAGAGCTCGAGCTCTGCGACTGTCTTCGCCGCTAGTTGTGAACGCAACGTGACAAACAGACACACATGTTGAACTGACTTCATAAATCAAAAGTTACACATTGAACCAAAATCAGTGTCTGATTAAGCTTATGTTACAGCTGAACAAAACAAGCCTAGGCTCTGCGCACGTAACGATCAATGTGATTTCATCGACGAAATTTAAATTACGAATCGAAGACGTGAAGTACAGCGCTCAAATATGTTAATCATCTAGCAGATGCATAAAACGCTTTGTGTACACAAGGCAAAATAGCGTAGAATCCTAAAAATCCCGTTTCTTTTGTGACTAATCCCTATGCTCCACGTTAAGCATAAAAGGGACTCCAGAAATTCAGTAATACAACTTCATTAAAACGATACTGTCCTTCCTAAAATCACAGGCTACCACACAAACGCATTGTTTCGCCACGCGCCTAGCCTACTGGTTGATCAGTACTTTCAAAATGCCATCAAGTCAGCTATCAACACTATCAGTGGAGTTATAAAGGCTCCATTCTTCGATCTTCTTTTGTCTAGGCAATCGACATCCAGCTGTCGGTACTTTACGGCGAATTAAGCCAAGATCTACGGCAAGTTTGATTTGCACGCTAAGGTAGACAATACACTAACACGCACGCAAATTACCAAGATGTTTCGGAACAAGTTCTCTTAATATGCTATCGCAAAACAATCTACTTACATCATGCAATCATTTCAAACATAAATACAAGATTAAGTTTTCTAGTTATTAGTCATCTAGACTAATATTTTTAATTCTTTCAATTTCTACTTCACAATCCATGCCGATAAAATTCGTCATTCCTGAAGCTGTTTTCATTACGCAACGAAGTAACCCGTAAAGCTTAACGAAAAAATTTTTTAAATTAGATTTTGTGCGCAACATTAATAATGAAAAAGAGTAATGTTCCAAAGTCAATAAAACAGCGGTTTAATGCGCAAAACTTGACGTACTAAACAGGCCCTTGAACGCAAGCATCACGCTTAAAAAGATTAGGTAACAAAGAAACTCTGAGATCACATGTAAGTATAAACATGGTCGATTGCTGCACACCACTGAGCTACTGCTGCTGTCTTTCTTGGATTTAAAGATGCTGGGTGACGAAAATCTGGTTACCGACATTAATCCTTCAAGCCATTGAGCATTTTAACGGCAGTTCAGTACAGAACGATACTCTAATTATAAACGACGATGGAAGAACTGGAGACCACAGTTCTGTTAACCCACGAAACACAGGATGACGCGTCACAGGTAAGATTAACGAAGTGATGCTCGAGACGGCTGTCAAAAAATGGCAAATACAACAACCTCTGATCAGTGTGGATGGTCAGCATCTTAGAAATAAAGTGGAAGAGTACGGAGACTTTTACCATGTATACTGTTATTCATCTGAATCGAAAACAACTTTTATCACGGTCAAGCTCAAGAACTCAGCAAGCAGACAGCGCCACGATGTTTCGCAAGTGCACTCTTACCCGTCTGAATTTCGTGAACAACACGTAACAAGCGAGAAAGCAATTGAGAAACATTTTTGAGATCCAACACATGTTCCTTCCCACTCTAAACTAAATTTATTCAAATTAAACCAAATTAGTTTTAAGTTTGAATATGGCCCCCAGTCAGATCGTTTCTACACTGGTACAACTTGAATATGAATATTAATTTGCGTTAAATAGAATGCCGCCACTATTTTGACCTACTCATTTATAAATTAACGCAGTCAGCAACTGCACTGCTTGCTACACATGTGACCAAATTTAAGTCGGAAAGGTTCTGAACGCTTCTGACAACTATAATACAGATACCGCAATATAAGGAAGAGTTTTTTGCTACATAAACTTTAAAAAATGACGAAGATGACTTAAATACAACTGGTTAGAAAACAAAGCACTTCAGAGCAGATAACATGGAATTTAATCACTGCATCTCAATCAACAAAATTACCGATTCGAATGGGCTATTAATGAAATTGGACGCTGGCTTAAATATAGGGTCAAAGCTTGAAATGAAAATGAATTATTATCTTCAGCTTTCTGTTACTTACAAAATTCAAAATCTGACTTAGACTTTGTATTATATTTCTTTTGAACATTTAGACAATAAGATGGCAGAAACCCGAAATAAAAAACAGTGAACTTACAGTGCTGCCTGCGCAGGCACGTACTAAGATAATGTGCAATCAAAGAATTGAAATAATTCCATTTAGCGTATATACCAATTAGGATATCCTGAGATTTTACTAGTCAGTCATATAATAGCTGGTTCTCTTAAACGATGAAAGTATCATAACAAAACATTGTCGGAAGCTGCAAAGACATAATAAATATAAATTTTAACGCTACGCATGCGATTAAATATAATTAACATGACACACAAGCAATAAAACCATAACCTCTGTTTGACATCGCCGTCGACCTGACCTATTATAACAACGTTTACAGCTTTTTAAATTATAACTTGGATTGCTTGGATAACCAGGTTGCATTTAGCAAAACACTGGTGTACACCCGCTTCCTCTCCAGATAAGGACGTCACAGCTGTGATCGTTTAGGCGCGTCTTTCGAACGCTTCCATAAGGGCGGTGGAACAGCTACTGCGTGAACCGACCGATCGAAGACCCTGAAGACGGCCATGGAATTACCCGAGATAGGTGCTTCGACGAACTCTGACTCAGATTTTCCTCTGCCGAAGTTACGACGCTGGCACAAGATCAGGAACGCTGATATCGACATCTCCGCGACCCGAAAGGATAAGCGGTCACCAAAACTGACTGAGAGACAGAGCGCACACTTCTCAAAAACTGAAAAAGCAACTACGGAAAAGGCTAATGAAATGAACGAGATCGCTTCGCTACTTTCGCTGAAACTAACTATCCTCCCCCCACGTGATGAAAACTGTTTTCCAGAAAGCTCCAAAGCGACAGTGTACATGAAAACCGAGACGGAAAATCATTGAAAAAATCATCTACAGACCGACGTAAAAAATGAATGACATCAGACGTGTCGGTCATTGATGAGAGCATTATTTCTGCAGGATAAAAATCCAGGCTTTTACGTTCTACACATTCGATGCCGCAAAAGAAAAACGGATCAAACGAAGCCATATAACAGCTTTGTGGAGAACTGTTATTTGGTCCACAGGCTTTTATCAAGAAGCTGTTATTAATAAGCCTTGATATGCACATCAGTGAGGGCGTGGTTGCAGATTATGACCATTTATTCAACGCCGTCATCAACGCCGTTAGAACATCAAGCCGTAAAGCAAAGTCAACAAGAAACCAATACATCAGGCATTCAACAACGCAGTTAATGGCTAGAAAAGATTAAATGAAGGCCGAAGGGAAAACGTACAATGTGCACACTGCGGTGTGCAAACAGATACGGGTGAAATTGATCGAACACTGCAAAAATTACAGGAAAATTCGTTTAAGAGAGACTTGCTTAAAGATGAAGGAGGAGCAAGAACTTTTCATCGCAATATGAACCCAATGTGCATGAAGTCTTAAAACAACATCAATCAGAAGTTGCCACTAGGTGCTCCAGAAGCTTTTTCGGAAGTCACCTCGAATGAAGTTAAGTGAACAATGAAAAACATTAAGAAAGACATATGTACACCCAAAGATGATATAAGAGCAAAACTCCTTAAAACAGAAGGAACAGTCCCGTTTAAAGTGTTTGCCAAATGTTTAACGGAATGCATCAGGCAAAACAAGATGCCTAAAGTGTAAAAGACATCAAGAACTGCTCGTCTCATGAAAAAAAAAGCGACTCTGAAGAGCTCAACAGTAATTACATTGCTGCCGCAAACCTACAATCTTCACCGTCAACATTCACGACCGTATTCGGAAATACCTCGACCTGGTCACAAGCCGGAAACAGGTCGGTTATCGTTCAACGCCTTCTTCAATCGACCATATATACGTTATGCAGCAGCTGAAGGAAAATGCAACGAATTTTAAGTGCCAAATTGCTTTGCTCTCACCGACTATAAAATGGCGTTTAATTCGCTCAAACTGGCGGCAATGCTAAACGCGTAGCATGAACATGGCAATAAACCCTATTTACGTCAGACTAACCGAGGAATTGAACACAGGATGCATGAGTGACATCAAGCTGTTAAGCGGACCATGTCGAATCAGTATTCATCGAGGAGTGCACCAAGGAGATACTATCTCAACCGACCAAACTGGTGCAACAGCATCAATACTGACGAAAACAGCAAACTGACGAAAAATGCTGACGACTGCATAATCTTAGCATAAGATACGCTGGAGCTCCATCAGAAAATCCAGCAGTCGCAACATGAATCTCTAACAATCGCACTGGAGCTTAACCTCTCCGAGACGAAATGGATGCGAAACGAGCAGTGCTTCGAGGGCTATATCTATGTGAATGGCGAAGAACTCGATGAAATCCCCAATTATGCACACCTTGAAAGTCAGGTGGACCACATGAACTCGCAAGATAGGAAAATCAGATGATGAAAGAACGCGGCATTGACTAGCTTCAATCGTATTAAAACATCATTATTCAGCAGTGAACTGTAAATGGGGGAGGTAGGAAAGAACAGTTCGATTTAATTTTCCAATCGGCCATGACCTACAGCGCTGAATGGTTACCTGTTGCTAAATCAGATGAAAATAAACTGATGGTAAAACAAAGAACGATGGAGCGAAAAACGTGCAAGGTATTTCGTCGGTTTCAGTTTCACTTTTCGAGAGCACAAATTCGACAGTGGACTGGATTAACAGATAAGATTTGTGCCTCCTACGCCGCTAAGAAAAGACTGACTGGTCATCGGGTTCGCCTGAGACACCACCGGTAGTTGTCAAGAATTATAAACTTAGTTCCGCAGAAGCATCAACTCGAGTCGGTGGTCAAAGAACACGCTAAGATGATCAGTGATCATATTACTGGGTCAACGTTGGATGCAGAAAGCGGAAAACAGAGAATATTGTAAGAGCGTCGGCTTGCGTTCATGGCGCTGACATAACGAGGGCAAATTAGATGCACTTACTTTGAGTCACTAGCCAAGCAAACGTGGTCGCCTTCAAAAAACTGTTGACTGATCATAGCCAATGCCTCTTCTACCAACGTTTCCAACGATTTCAAATCTAAAGTCATTGAAATTAAAGACAGAAACATGAGTTGTACTTAATACTGTGATGGATCAATTCGAGAATCGGTTTTTCGAAGGCCTTAGGAAATGCAGATATCACCTCTTGTCGGCATTTTCGTTCACATTTCAAAGCATCAGCGAATGTTAGCACCGCCTGACCGGTGCTTCGACATGCCCAAACTGGATCGCTACACTTCACGTCCAACGTCAACCTATCCGTCGATGGACTAAATTAGCGGGTATTCAATCAGGTTACGAATACACTTTGATATGAAACTGACTGTAAAAAGATCATCAGATCGCCAAATTTTAAATTAAGCAAGCGGAAATTGAACTACAGTACATTTTTCAATCAAATATAAAATCTTCAAACAAGAAATTATTAAAATGTATGAACTGTGACATCTGTTACAGCCAACTCTCATAAACGACTCAGCTACTGCAAGACAAATTATCACAAGTATAATGATTTTCGTTTTCGCGTCAGCGTACTATTCAGCAAGTTGGAAGAAAGAAGGAACACTATACGTCGACTGTAGCGAACGCCGCAGTCAAATAAATAACACAAGCCGCGCATATAAGCTAACTGATTAAGTTGAAATATAACAAACCTAGAAAAGTAAAAAAATGCTTACCGTGTCTGAGTTACGCAGCATAACTGAAGCTTACCTACTGAATTACAAAACTTAAAAAGTTAGCAATTACTTCGTTAATCCATTTTCTTCTGAAACATCGCCAACGTTGCTAGTTCCATCTTCGATAAAACCGACCTGTTCTGGGGTATAAAGACGAGAACGATAGATCGGCATATTAGGACCTTCGAAAAGCCGTAACCCAAATTCTATCGACGAAAATTCGTACCTCACGCATTCGACGACATAACAACATCGCACAAGTGGCGCGGTTTTAAATTAAATGTCTTTCTGTCTGTACGGTTACTTATTGCAAACTCCGCTACAATAATACAACCTGCCGATCATATTCTCTGAGGCAAATTTCAAAAGTTTGCAAACTTCTTTAGAATGCAATAATGGAACACATATTGGACGACGCAATTCCTTCATTAATTTGAGTATAGTATTTTTTTGCCAAAGCTTTGAAAGATCTCCTGAAAAGTTAAAATAACGCTTGAAATTATAGATCAAAATTTTCCGCTGTGTCCAAAAGATCAACTTTTGACTCCGGAGGCCGTTTGTTAGAATCCGCTGAAGGGACGACCATTTTCTTCACCACCGAACTTTTGAGCAAAGAGTCTAAAGTACTTGTATTAAATGCTGTAGTTTTGAATAATAAATATATCGTACAATTTCAGTCTACTCATACCAAAAATGAGGTGCACGGCATGCAGTCCGATAAGAGGGCCCCTTTTGACTGCACTTAATATTCATTCGCTTTATTGCTGATTATCCGTTATAACAGCCAGCACTGTTAGTAGTCCCAATTTCGTTCACTATTCATTTCGCTTAAAATCTTGGATCTTTCCGTAACTCTTAATTTCACCTGTTGGCACCTTGGGTAAGAATATGCTTTCACGGATAAAAGCCAGTCAACTTGTCTTCTCAGAAGTGTATAAACTAAGCAATATGTAAATAAATTTATGTATAAACAAATGTAAACGAGGTTTTATCATTGTCGTTTCGACACTAATGAAACTGACATAAAGTTAATTTGACTTAGGTTATTTAGGTTAAATTATCTCAAAGCCTGGTCGATGGTGACGGATAAAGATAGCAAGAAAATGGAGACAATGCTTTACTCTGACTGTCATATTGTATATTCAGATATCAGGCAGGCAAAAGCGAATTTCATTTTTCTGAAGTGATAGCTATGGGTTGAATGGGAATACATCTCACCTATCTGGCATGGCCAGACTAGGAACAAAAATCACCAAGTTGAAAGGCTGTTGTCTTCTCAGTAACGATGTACAGCCTTGAATCTTTAACCTTTTTAGAGCGCAATGAAAAGATGTTGGGTGCTTTTCAGCAGCGCTACCTGCAGAGCATTTTCGACAATGTAATAATTTTCAAATAGGCCTTGAAAAGATCTTGGAGAAACTGGTAGGAGAATGCTGTCTGAAGGAATTAGGAACCTGCGTCTGGGGTAGTTTAACAGAACCATCCGGACAGAGAATGGACACTGATCCAAAAACATTCATCACTGAGAGGCAAAAAATAATAGCCGCAGGCTCTATGGAGGTCAACATCGTACCATAAAACAGCTAGTGGAAACGCGTTTGGCCTTGACCCTAATACCCCAGGTGACAGCGACAACAACTTGCCGTCTTTCTTGCTCGCGAATCAACGGCTTATTGACTATTTCTTAGTTTGTTGCGAATTGATTTGCAGCGATTTCCTTTTTCAAGTGAATTAGCCGTTAAAACAAGTTTTCCCTTTCGGGAATTGCCCACACTCCTAGCACATGTTGCCACTAAATGGAGCCTCTAAAATTTTTTTAAAGAAGTAGCCTGTTTCAAATTCAAAACGAGCAGATGCATCTTCATCATATGCACACCTAAGATGGACAGCTTTAGGGGCTTGACGATTGTCACTTCTGCATCGATATTTCCAACAATTGAATAATAACTCAACTCTAACACGTTTTTCGCCGTCTGACTTTGTGTTTCAGTTATCTGTTGGATTACATGGCTCAAGTGCGTTCCTGAGCAGCTACAGGTCGGGATGGTTAATTTCGATCAAAAATATTTGGACTGTCTAACTGGTATTAACTTGGTCGAGCAAGATTTTATCTTAACTATCACAGCGTCAACTTTCGCCAATGTTTTTAATTTTGTATTCCAGTGTCAGAAATATTTGTTTATTTCATCTTGTAAATTGTTTCCTGTATTGTAATTGTAAAAATTCGTTACTCGCATCATTGTATTACAAGCATAATAGGTGATTTATTTGTGATTGACAAAACGATACAAATAATATGGATGTAAATAAAATCGTGCACAGCTCATGATAAAATATCACTCTTTTAGGACCATATTCAAGTGTTTGTCCTTTATTGCATCTCGAAAATTTTTTTCATCATGACTCGATGTAACGTTCTCAAAGTGAAATGTTCGAACTCCGACCATTAGATTTTCTATTCTTTCTCAAGATAGTAAAAAATTATTTCAATTTTGCGGCCAGGAAATTTTCCCAAGAAGAGGCTACACCACGTGCATTACGTATATTGACATGTATATTTAAGCCTGTAGCTACAAACAATTCACGTTTATACCTGATAATACTTATACTGTCATCTGTTATCATACGTTTAATGATACCCCTCTGGACTGACTTAAGCCGGTCAATCACATTCGATGTCCGCTTACCTTTTTGGGCTGTGAAGGCAGACATATCAGAAAGTGTCTTCTGCATTCCCAACTCTGTGCCATGGTTTGAGATTCGGTGGGAGATAATCTGAGTTTAAAGAAGAGCCATTCGAGAGAACTGCCACGGGTTATTTTTGGAAGTCCCCGGATCTTTGGTTGGTCAGTTGAGTAAATGGCAACTGCATTGCTTTCCTTTCTGAATGCATTCGTAAAATGTGCCCAAACCATCCAAAATGAGTTCTCAATCTGGAGAAGCAGCGGCTGTGCAAAATGATTGACTCAGATGGGTGAACATCTGACCATGTTGCGAAGAAAGAGCTGAGCGATTCTTTTCAGAAAGCCTACTTCAACTGTTTGTACCTGACATCGAGGTTTTCAGCTATAGCCCACTATTTATGAAGTGAGGTGAAGGTTGACTTGAACCAGAGTGGTTCAGTTCTGGCTAGTTCAAGCAAAGCGCCACTGGCCATTCGAACTCGCTGACTAATTTCTTCCTTTCATTCTTCTCTCCATTAAGCACGACGCATGTACGTAAATGTACGTCAATTTCATCACCGCTTTTCCGTTAATTTGCTAGACGTATAGTACTATCCCTTAAAGTGACGTGAGCGACTATCCAAAATTGGCAGTCTGTGTAAACACTTCCGCAAACACTGATCTGATATAGATGAAGAGCAAAAAACAAAAAAGTGGTTAATTTTGCACATTTTCCCATTCATTTCGCTCAGTTTATGATTAAAATCAAAACTATTCGAACAAGATGGCAATCTTATTACGCACATTTTGTCAGAGGTCAGCAACTCTGAGAGAGGGCGCGTTAAGGAATTCACTCTTGGTCGTTTATATACAATTCCTGTAAGCTGAAAATCTTGGTTGGCCCTCATAGTCGTAAGGGATGTTACGAAACTGTGTTTGTGACTAAGGTGTCTCCGTTGAGAATTTGAAGGAGACATGCATTCAGACAATAACTCTAAAGTTTAATCAGATTAACAAAATTTAAAACGTCGTCGCAAGGAAAAGTAGTTCGGCCTTTCACGTAAACCTATACGTTCATTTCGACATACAACGTAAATTCTTTTTAATTACGCCGTGTCATTGGAGCATATCATTAATCATACTGTGAAAACTGAAACCTAACTATAGCAGCAATTCGATGACAAAAGCGTTATAGTGATATCATAATTTACTGAAGTGAACATGGGAGGAACTGTGAGATCAATTATTAAAGTGTCTTGCGCATGCACTTTATAGCTGCAGTTTTCGTGACTATACCAAAACGAAGGGTGATTACACCAGCGTAAGTTTTAACGAACATATTCAAATTCAAATCAGAGTTATTCTTCGCTTGGAACTTCGAACAGGCTTTGAATTGGGAAATTCACAATTCAACACTAAAATTGTATCTCTGCGACTGGTGTAGTCTTGATTATTGAAATATGGTCCAAACGATGTGAACATTGAAGTGTCTTATTGCCTGATTAGCCCGATTTACGAAACTGGGCTAAAGATTAGGATACGGCATAGGAAGATAAATTGCATTGAAGAAGAGAAAAAATTTTCAGTATCGTAACAGCATAAGTCATCGTTAAGAAGAATTTCTTTCCAAAAACTAATGTCACGCTAGTCCAGGAACTCATGTTGGAAAAAAATTAATCTGACTAATGACTAGCTTTGATATTTATTATAGTGCAACAAGCTTACCATTAGCATGAAGAAATATGAAGAAATCTATAAAATCAGCCTTAAAATATGTTGCTGCTTTGTACCAGTCACTCTGTATTATTTGTGGACATCATCACTTTGAACCGATCGCATCTGCAAAACTTTTCTAACTTGTACTCCGCTGATATCTGCAACTTTAAACACTTTTGCTATAGTGTACCGGTTACTGTTATCGCAGTAGAAAATGATTCCTTTCTGAAAACAAATTTACCTTGACCTTATTCCTCCATATTGTGTGCTGGTTTTCTGGTCGATGTATACAGCGTTCGGCTGCCACACGAGAAGATTAACGGCAATTGTAAAAGGTGTTTGCTCAATCCGTTTTTTTGACAGTCAACCATTTTTTTAATTTCCACATATAGCGATGTCATCTGTGCCAAAAAATAAACTGTGTCCTTCCTTATACGGTCCTTCTGTTTTGCATAGAATCTAACGCTGCTTTACAGAGGTCAACCATGGCTCTTGCTCCTTCATTACTACAATTGTCTCTATGGCGTACAACAACACGAATCTCACAAAATCAGGGTACAGGCGGATTTTCA